CTGCTACAAAGGCAGCAGCATTTCCTTTTTTCTATATTTTATTTTTAAGAGCAAAATGTTTTCTTGCTTAAAAAAACATTCATTGTTGCTGATTAATGTTGTGAGAGTAATGAATAAGATGGATTTAAGTGCACTCCCATTCCTTTTCATTTAACTTGCTTGGTCAGTGATGTACACACAACAACAGCCTTGTGGTTATATCATGTTAAAAATCTTTTTTATTTTTTATTTTTTTTGGGTGATGCATGAGGCGAGAACACAAGGCAGCCTTGACACTGAGTTAGTCTTGATCTGGAAAATATATGATTCACCCAGACGTCATTCTTTGGCTACAAATACCATCATTTTATCTTTTCATGAAGTGGAAGTGAATCACGTCACGTTGAATAAAAAGTTCCACCATAGTTTTTATTTCGAGCATAGAAGGTAAAGTAGCAGCTCCGGATATAGTGAACTACAGCACGTCAGCAAGTAGTTTTGAAGGTCAAATAATTGTTTGGTATGATAAGTTGAGTGGGGAGAAATATGGAGCTTAAGATAAGTATATTGGGGCTTGGTTTAAATATTTTAGCTACATTTATGCTTGAAGATGTGCTTTCTCAAACTGAAGCTGTTTTCGTAGGAACAGGCAGGACAAACTGAAAACAAACTTCAAATTATGTAGTGTAAATTGGCAGACAAACAGGCAATGGTGGTATTTTAATTAGGTTAGTTTGTTTAAAATAGTGTTGAAATGGTAGTTAGTTGTTGACATCTCTAAATGTTTTTTGGAATTTAAAGTGCTCTTTATTTAAATAATCAATGTGATTCTTGGTTTTCTTGGGGATCACATTATTTAATGTATTTCCTTCCCCTTAGTGTAATCACTCAAACTGTTGTTTTCCAGGTTCATTTTGATAAACTTAGTCTTGTGTATTTTGTATTTACTTTAAACTTCCTTGTCTAATTTTTCTGATGACTATGTTCCCTGCTGTTTAGCATCTCCCTAAGTGCCTTGTTGTAATCCTGTTTCCTTTGTGTACTGAGCTCTAGTTCCCCATGTTTCTGTTTTCCTGCTTTCTCTCGTGGACTTTGGTTTGCCTTTTTTTTTTTTTATGTAATCGATGCCTGCCTTTGACTCTGCATTTGAGTCATCCAGTCTACCTTTACAAACATTTGTGAGACAATGGGTTTTTCAAAATAACTCACTGAATTCTAGCACAGTACTGTTATAGGTTGTCACCGGTGCAACAAGTAAGTTTGCAAATTGCAAAAGAAGCGGTTAGGAACCATAGCAATTTAGCCACAAAGTGGCAGGCCAGATAAAAAGCAGGGTGGCAAAGTGTTGAGGCATGTAGTGAAATCTGCCAAAGCTCTGCTGATTCAATAACTGCAGATTCTAACCCTCCTCTAGTATTAACATCAGCACAAAAATTATGTCCTAAGAGCTTCATGGCATGGTTTTCCTTGGCTGAGTAGCTCCACTTGGAGTAATGTGTAGGTGGCCCAGTGCTTTTGTGTGTCTCTGAACTCGATTCTGTGTTCAAAGACATCCAAAGTCAGCAGAGACAGAACAGTCCTGTGGGTGTGCCAGTTTAACTATACTGAGCTTGTCTGATTAGAAGAGTTCAATAGTTCATAATGAGTGGAGCCACTTAGGATCAATCCCAGTTGTAATAACTATCCTTGGAGTTCTGATTACGTGATTGGTGTTGCAGCGGTCTGACCCCTTTTTTTTAACTGAGTCCTTATGTGGATGAAACACATGGATACCGGTTTAACTTGGACATCTATATCAATTTTTGCTACAAAACTGTGATTCCCTTTTCACAGCTACTTTTCTGAGACACCTTGCCTATATTAATCTGACAGTAAATTCAGACTTGAACTTGAAACATACTCAAATAATACAGATGTCTTGCCTAAACACATGACCTTTTAGTAAGAAAGTGACATTTCACATTTAGCATGGAACACTTTCTGCAATGTCAGGAAACTGCGAGAGCATGACACTGGCTGCCATCAGGAGAGAGACACACTCCCCAGGTAGTTCAACATCTACAAGCTACTGTGAAAACACTGACCTTCAGACAGCTTGCTTGAGTTGTCAGGTTGGCTAAAAACCTGTAAAAGATGAAGGGAAGTTGACAAGGTGGTGGGACGGGAAATTTTTCAGTGAGCAAGGTGACACGATGGAGATATTTTGAAAAAGGTCACTTCAGGTACATCATTACCTCCTCAAGGCATATCAAAGAGCTGTGCATCTACCTGGATGCCTGCATGTTTTCTTAAATTCAAACATATCCAATCCAGTGTGTGTCTTTCTTGTGTGTGGGTGTGAGTGTGTGTGTCTGTTCTGGTATCTGACACTCTCAGACAGCCAGTAGCATGGCTCAGTGAGGGAGATGGCGTGATCACTGGACCGTGGTTTGTCTTATGCTGTCACACATACACACACTCACAGATAGACAGCCACTAAGGCCGCCAAGATAATACACCTCTCTGGTGTTGCTTTTACACCAATAAAGTGGAAATTGATATATGAACTAACCAAGAGTAAAACATAATTGTACATTTAAGCCCATAAATCCCAAGAACAGAGATCCAAACATGTCTGGATAGAAGCGATAAAGAATAAAAAAGCAAGGCAGCAGAAAACTTTTTTTTTTTTTTTTACAGCTGTGCATCCTGCAATTTACTTTATTGGGCAACATGAACTGTGCTCAGTGCACTCTCAGTCTCTCTGTTGTATTTAAGATATAAAAGAAAATGGGATTCAGCTTTCTGAGTCATAAAGAAGACATATGTATATGTCATGCATATTCATATTTATCAAACATACTGTCAGGGTAGCATCATAAACTTGATCTCTCCAGGATGAGCTGGTCATAAAAAAATGCAACACTGGTCATTTGTTCAAACAACTGCTATTAATGTGTGTCAAAGTCAGAAGTAGTCAGCACGGTGTTGTTGTGCTCTCCAGGATCAGGCTGGATTGGATCAGTGAGTAAACAAAGCATGTAGTGTTGACAAGACAGACTGATGATTATTTCTCGTAGGGATGCACCGATACCGATACTGGTATCGGGGCCGATACTGTAAAATGTGTGTACTCATACTCGTAAAAGTTAACCGATACCATGAACCGATACCAACTTATTTCATTAATCAGATGGTGGCATGTCATTTCTGTTGTAGTTTTTTAGATTGGCCACTAGGGGGGCAATTAATATTTTATTTATTATTTATTTTATAATTTTTTATATTTTATTATTTATTTAATAATAATTATTTTGTTTGTTT